GCCGGAATTTCAAGGAGTATCCCTGCAGCTTTCCGCGAGTATCGGGATTCTGGGGGTCGATATTTCGAGCGATGTCCAGTTTCGGAGTCATTTGGAAGGTAAAGCCAAATTGGCCTCTAAAATGTTGGGAGTTCTCAACAGAGCGAAGCGGTATTTCACGCCTGGACAGAGACTTGCGCTTTATAAAGCGCAGGTCCGACCTCGCGTGGAGTACTGCTCTCACCTCTGGGCCGGGGCTCCCAAATACCAGCTACTTCCATTTGACTCCATACAGAAACGGGCTGTTCGGATGGTCGATAGTCCTGCTCTCGCGGATCGCTTGGAACCTCTGGGTCTACGGAGGGACTTCGGTTCTCTCTGTGTTTTATACCGCATGGTCCATGGGGAATGCTCTGAGGAATTATTCGAGATGATTCCCTCATTTCCTTTTTATCATCGCACCTCCCGCCATCGGAGCAGAGTTCATCCATATTATCTGGAACCGCTGCGTTCATCGACAGTGCGTTTCCAAAGATCTTTTTTGCCACGTACCATCCGGCTTTGGAATGAACTCCCCTCCACGGTGTTTTCCGAGCGCTATGACATGTCCTTCTTCAAACGAGGCTTGCGGAGAGTACTTTATGGTAGGCAGCGGCTTGGTTCTGCCCCTGGCATTGCTGACGTCCATGAGCGACGGTGACCACTTACCATCAGGTGGGCCGTATGCTCGTCTGCCTACAAAGGCAATAAAAAAAAAAATGTCTATGGGCTCCAGTAACTACTTAACACCAGGTGGCCTGTGAGCTCGTCCACCCATGTAAGCAATAAAATAAAAAAAAGAATGAACATAATTAGATTTTTTATAAAAAAGGTATTAGACAACTGTATAAAGGAAATATGTGATCGGAAATCAAAACATCATATTCATTGAATCATGTTACCAATCACACGACGACATAAATCGAAAATTTTCCGATTAGTAAGCTTTCCAGGTGTTTTGTTCGACGCACTGAGCTTTCCAACTTGAGAACAGCTACCGCAACAATTTCTCGAACACAATAATAATTTACGTAACAGTCTCGTGTGCACGAGAGATAAGCACTCCGAACCGGCGAGGCCTTCATAACGAGCCACTCAGAACCTAAGGTCATGTTCAGAACGTATCATGTTTTTGTATAATAAAAAGGTCGACATATTTTCATATTATATGGATCGTAAATGGCGTCGGTTTTATTTTTTAGATGATATTCACGTCCACGTTGTTTTTTTATATTTTTTTATTGCTTCGTTGGATGGACGAGCTCACAGCCCACCTGGTGTTAAGTGGTTACTGGAGCCCATAGACATCTACAACGCAAATGCGCCACCTACCTCGAGATATAAGTTCTAAGATCTCAGTATAGTTACAACGGCTACCCCACCCTTCGAACCGAAACGCATTACTGCTTCACGGCGGAAATAGGCGGGGTGGTGGAACCCACCCGCGTGGACTCACATGAGGTCTATACTACCAGTAATTACGCAATTTATAATTTTATATAATAAAATATACATTATTGAAACCAAATTAGCGTAAATACTAAATACATATTCATGAATCTAAAGCTAGCGTCGGTGATGCGTAATGACATTAAGCCGTATCAAAGATGTACAGTAATAGAAATACTTCATATAATTTTTATACAGAATTACGCAAGCTTTGAAGACATCATTTATGTACTATATAAACGTAAAGGAATGCCATTTATAACAGAAAACTATTTTTGTCTTATGGGACCGTCACTAAAATAGCATATTAAATTATTTTACAAATTTAACCCTAAAATCTGGTTTCGTATGCACGGATCCTAACACGTGGAATTGAGCAACCGAGCAACGAGACCTGCCAAATACAAGCAACAATGTTCCAGTGATACACAAATTGGAATAGCTCTGGGAAAAAAAAAAGGGGAAAATTTTCACGACGTGTAAAGAAGCTCAATTTTTTTTTTTTGTATTTTCACCGGTTTTCCCGAGTCGTATACACAAATAAAACTAGTTTTACGGTTTTAATCTCGCGTTCTACATTGTTATTTTGTTTTGCCGACGTTTACAGTTTTAGTGTTTGTGAACGCGATAGGAGTCCGTAAAATTTAATTTAAAGTCCGTAAATCAATTTAACTTCTAGCGTGAATAATGTTTTAAAGGTTTAAAAAAAAAAACTAAGACAGAGACTTAGTCACTTAGACACAGAGACTCATGTCTCTTAAAACCATATAAACGGATAGACGGTCTCATCAAAATATGTATTAAATTACTTCTTATTTCTGTTAATAAGGAAGCGTGGTACTTCGGCGTTGAAATTATGTAACAAAAGATTATTCCTAATAATTCCGTATATTTGAGTCATTTTAAAATTCGTGTCTATTTTTTCTATGTCTATGGAACTTTCAATATATCAAAATGACATAAGCGCATAGATTTTAAATTCACGCTATTTTGAAAATACGTATACTGTATACTAAATTTGTATATTTATAATGTTTCCCTTAAAATTCAGCTTGACACAAATTACTATAATTCTAATATTTTACAATCAAGGCTAACAAAGCCTAATGAGCTCAGATTATAGTGTAATTATTGAAGTCTAGAAATACGGTAATAAGTCTAAAAACCTAGATTTTATGACTAAAGTGCTACGTACGTAACAAAGGGAAAATATTTAACGATAAAAATTAAGGTGCGGTTTACGAACACGTCAGCGCCGTAAATTTCTCATAAACTAGTGCCATTTGTACTGTTATTGTTCTAATAAAAATTGAGAGCATAAAATATAAGGACACATTTAATTTTACGTTGGATTTAATTTAAATCGATGGTATTCGCGGAATCATTAAGTAAATTACTGACTATACGCCGTACCACCAGGAAAATGTGCTATAGTTATACATAATATAATCTTAAAGAAAACTATGTAAAAGTACAATGAAAAGCAATATATTATATAGCCGATATAAAAAACTTCATCTTGTAACTAGAGCCACGTTTGAAGCTTAAACGTTTTTAGATGTGTTACAGCGGCTACGATTCTCGTAGACTGTCTACGATGTTCGTAGAGTGTTACGAAATACTTCAAATTAAGGTAATTCACATTTTCCAATAATGGTTTGAAGCGCGTCTTTCTTTATTTTATTACAATATTAGGTACTTAAGTACTTGCATAATAGTCTTTCCCAAATAGGCAAGTATGAAGTACAATGATTTGCAATTGTTCTCACATATAAATTAAAGTATGTAATTGTAAAGTAGTTTTATTTAAGTAATCATAAGTCTATTTATACCGTGTAATAGCCACATCGCTTTATAAAGTTTAATATAATAATGATTAAAAAATATAATAAAAGGTCTTTGTTGTCTTCGAAAAAATCATTCTGTTCATAATAAATATTATATTACAATCTATACTAATATCTAAATCTACAGTGGTTTTTACGGATGTTCCGTTATAACTACTGAGCCGTGCATCCGATTGACTTGAAACTTGGTATCCATGTAATAATATTTATATGCGTGTTGGATTCCCTACATCAGTTGCGGGGGCCTTAATGATGAGAATCTTTGTGGAAAATAATAATGTTAATTTTAAATGCCCAGCAAAGCGGACGGGTACAGCTAATATTGGATAAAATTTTAGGCTGTATGCTCCGCTCTTATTTATAGTGTAACGCCAGATGGCACCACTTTTGTACATCCTTCCTTCATGCCATATTTTATGCGGTATGTGAAAGTGTGTAGACTTGTGGTAAATAATATTATAATAAATATTATAATGGTATTTATAATTTCTTCTTACCAGTGGCAGGTTCTTGAAGGCCTTTAGGGTCGGTAGCTTCGTCAGCTGTAGCTGTAGTCAGCGCCAAGGTGAGCAGCAGCCACTGTAGGGCAGCCATTTTAACTGAAACAAGTCGAAGTGGTTCCAGCTCAATATGTGAAGAGTTCAAAATACTTCCAGCTACGCATATTGCACGAGCGTAATTTTATCAGTGGTCAATATCAAAACGTGAAGTCGTCGTGGCCTTAAGGATAAGACGTCCGGTGCATTCGTGTTGAGCGATGTACCGGTGTTCGAATCTCAGGCGGGTACCAATTTTTCTAATGAAATATGTACTTAACAAATGTTCACGATTGACTTCCAAGCTGACGGAATAACATCTTGTAATAAAAATTAATCCCGCAAAATTATAATTTGCGTAATTATTGGTGGTAGGACCTCTTGTGAGTCCGCACGGGTAGGTACCACCACCCTGCCTATTTCTACCGTGAAGCAGTAATGCGTTTCGGTTTGAAGGGTGGGGCAGCCGTTGTAACTATACTTGAGACCTTATAACTTATATCTTAAGGTGGGTGGCGCACTTACGTCGTAGATGTCTATGGGCTCCAGCAACTACTTAACATCAGGTAGGCCGTGAGCTCGTCCATCCATCTAAGCAATAATTTTTTTTTTAAGAAAAATTATTATTATTAAAAAGGTTTCCTAAACAAAAAGTTTTTTTCAAAATTAAATCCTATACTCCTTGTTCGATTTCGGCCACGGTGACGTCTTCAACTCCAATCCTAATTGTCATGATGTAATCGGCTATAGCCAACATAGTCAACCTTATACCTAAACGTTTGCGCATGTTATTATTTACTATGAAAAAATAAGATATAAATGATTTAATTACTGAATAAAATGTTGAAGACGCCTAAGAATGCTCATTGGTTCGAATTTCGAAAATCACACGCACACACGCAAACACACACACAGGTCAATAGAAAGAAAAAGTGTAAAAAAGTAATGTGCCGTAAGCATGAGTAGATATCATCATTCTCATAACTATTTAATACTAGGCAGGGCATTCAGTAAAATAAAAAGTCTCTCTTTTTCTGTCTAATGACGTCCCTTTCTATCGCCCTGCCAACATCTATGATAACTAACAAACTACCAACAAATACCAATAAACTTATCAATACACAATTACTATTCATGTAAAGATAAATTAAGCCAACATTATTAATCTATTTCCAATTGACAACAGAAATACATAATAAACTGAGTTTCGTGACCCAAAAACTCATACAGGCACATTATCGTTGTCGTGTGTATTAAAAACGTCCTAATACCCACATTTAACCATGCCACTAACCATTAAATGCCTGAAAGGTAATCACAAAATGTATTCCCATACGCAAAAGCTATTCTATAACCGAAAGCTAACGACGGTCATTAAGTTGTAATGGTTATAGAAATAACTAGAGGCCTCACCGATGGTAATTTCTTGGTTTTCATATTGCTCTAGATGAGCTTTATTAGGACTATGGACACAACTGAAGCCTAAAGTTTAATTGCACTTTCTATGACTGTTCTGTATTGCCATCCTCAAGACGTGACTACTTCGCGGGAGCATATAGGCAAGACGGCGGTACCTATTTATACAGTACTAGTTAATTTTGATAATTGTTGCGCTGTGGTGAATGAGCGTGGACTGTATTCATTGTTTTGAGATATTTATTTGTCATTATATGACAAATTAAAGACTTAATATAAAAGAAATTTAAGATCGATGCGTCGCTCTTGACAGCTGGATTTAAAAGAGAAATAGTGTCATGGCGGACGTCGCTCGCTGACATTTTGACGTTCAGAAATTGAACAATAATCCTCTTTATGAAAAACCAGATTCTCGTCGAAATGTCCATGAGCTTTGATAAACTTTCACCATTTGAAAAATAATGAGTTCGTTTGTCTATAAAAAAATCCACAATTACGTTAATTGTATTTCTGTATTATATTAATATTCGAATCTCAGTATTTCATCTTGAAAACAAATAAAGTATGATCAAATTTTTCTCCAAGTCACGTCCTATCTTCATTCTTATGATGAGAAGTATAAAAAGACAATTCCTATGTTACCTTGCACAGCAACAATTCCGGGCCATTCGCGACTTGCCGCTGAATATGACTCTTTTAACGCTAGCCTAGTTTCAGACAAAGAGACAGCACAGGGATGAAGCGAGGAAGAGTTTCGTATAATGTGAAATAGATATTATTATGTAATTTAAAATTCTTCAGGATAAATACAAGAAGGATCTCGTAGAAATTTAAAAATATTAAGCGCGTCTTTATACTCGGGTAATAAAGTGTTATATTACGCATATGACCCAGTTCTCTGACAAGAAAAATACTTTGAAAGATGTCAGGTCCCCCGTCTGCATTTCCGTTTTCAGAGTATCTGAGAGATCATCAATTACCAGGCTCCAGAATGTGGTATTCTCGGACGAGCCAAATTGGTAGCACGGTTGTATAGTGTAATATTTTAAAGAAATCTACACGTATTGACGAGAAGATCGCTGGGCATTGTGGGGATGACTTGGGTACCCATTTCCACGCAATGAAATCCAAATTAACTCAGACATCTAATAGTTTCATTTCATTGTACGTGAATTAGTTTGAATAGTCGATCAGCCGTTATATAATAAAGTTTATTTTACCTTCATCTTCAAGGATGATAGACAGATGATACATGATAGATATTCACTTGCTAAAATTTGTGAGCGTCAGTACGCTCGTAGGGTTAGGTTGACGATGGGATCGCCTGGTCATCTTTTTATATTTTATCGCTTAGATCGGTAAACGAAGCTCACGGTTCAACTGGAATTAAATGGTTACCGAAGCCCGTAAACATTAACAACGTAAATGCCATCACCTACCTTGCGATATGAGTTCTAAGTCTCAGTTTTATATTGCAATAGCCACCCTTCAAACTCAAACGCATAGCAGCTTCATGACAGAAATTATACCTGGGTGATGGTACCTAACCGTGCAGGCTCATAAAATGCCCTACAACCAGTCTGTACAAAAAAAAAACAATTAAATCTTCGACTTTATAAATAGACTCAAGATAGATAGCTACTCTAGATACTCACGAGCACGTCTGCCCGTCTCAAATAAAAATCTGTAGCAAAAGTGTGCAAAATTGGGCATACGGCAGCTTTTCCTGAGAAAACTATGACAGTTCTATATAAAAATTTAGATTAAGAACGTTAATCTTATGAATGTACCTAATATGTAAATGTTTGAAATACTTCTACCACAAAACGTTCAAACAAAAAGTATTACAGACGATTAATTCAAATGGGTCCCAATATGGGTCATGCTTAGAAATTCTAATTTCGACCCTGCTCGCTTTGTGCTGTCCCTACAGGCAAGAAGGCCGTAGGGACCGGGGGCAGTCATTTTCTACTCACACTGTCAAAGCGAGGTCACCTTTTATGTCGCTCAAGCTATTTTGTCTTGTCCTGTAACTTTCGCCGTCAACTTTCGTAGTTTAATATTTCTGAAATGTTTCTAGGGTCAGTTGGGAAATACAGAATACTGTTTTGAACTTTGCTCAGTGTGTGACAGTTGTGTTTTGATGTGAGTAGTTGATAATTTGCTATTCGAGACAAAAGACACGTCTGTTTAATCGAAGTTTGAATAATACAACAGAGAAATTGGTAGAATAGTGGTACCCTCACAATAAGCCTTAGTAGGAGTCAAGATACAGTTCTTAAGCGATTGGTATTGTAATTGTATTTCTTTGAACTGAATCCTTTCAAAAAGGCACAATTTAAACTTAAAATTTCACTCAAACTTACTCTTTTGTTTGAATAAAGAAAGTGAACTTCGTATTTCGGACCGATAAAAGCAAAAAAAAGCAATTAAAAAAAATCAACACGTGTCTTCTTAACGAAAAGTCGTTAATGTAAGGACATTCCCATTAACTTTTTATTTCAATGATATTTTGTGTGATTCATTCGAGACATGAAAGCTAAATATTTTTTAATAAATTTTTTCTCATATTCAGTTCTTGTAATTAATTTTACGTAAGCTCTTTACGTAAATAAAATCTTCTCGCTGTCTGTCGAGAATTTCAATGAAAGAGATTATTTAGCGAGATCTCAAGTACATTCGTTAGCTTGAGTTTTCTGTCTTACTCGGATTCATTCTGAATTCGAAAAGTGTGAGCGGGATAAAAATAGCAATGTAACGTACACAAAATATTATATGTTCTAAGTATTTCAATGAAGATTATCTTTGAACGTGACTCTTTTGTCGTGAACTTTATACTTCATTCGTAATTCTTTGACTCCGAACATTGTCTCTAATTTTAGCCGTAACTTTAGGCTTCGCGATGGAACATTGTGAAACTTTTCAAGTAAATTAATTCTACGAAGCGTATGTTGAAGTTTTTGTAGTCATTACTTAGGATTCGCTTGGATTCTGTTGTCGTACATAGACTTATTAATGACAAGAATAGTCATAGTCATTTTTGCTTTCTTTCTTTTCACATCGGATTCTATGTTTTTTTATCTCTAGATGCATGCTGAAGTTCAAATCCTTTAAACCAAGTTAAATGCTTTATTGAGTTAATTAGCATTGTGGCTTATGGACAAAGGCAATGCCAATGACAACAATTTTACTGAAATTCTTATTTTATTTTTCTAGATTGGCACACAAATTTCACGCTCATCCAGATGGTTATGTGATAATTAAAGCCCATTGCGAAATTTTATATTTACTTTTACCCAGAAAATTATACTGTTCTCGGGGGATGATATTTTTTATTTTCTATGTCACGCCCGAAAAAATATTTTTAAAAGTTAGTTATAAGCTCTTCGTGAGAGAAAAACAGTTGTTCCTTCAAAATGTTCCGAAACTAAATAAGACTGAAGAGTCAATCAAGCGAGAGAAAGGATCTTCACCCTCATGAGAGTTTCAACTTTACAGGATATAAGTCGCAGTACTACACAAAGGTATCGAGCAGCCAGTGAACCAAGTAAGTGGTAAAGTAATCGCCCTGGAAGACGCTTTCATGTGGACTAATGCACCGACTACAAACAGACTACTAGTGCTGTGAAACTTACTAAATTTGGCCG